TACAATGAAATACATAGAATAAAGCGAGATACATTGAAATACAACAGACTCTTCAAGTTGCTCAGCCCCAAACTCCCGTCGTCTTTGTTCAAGAATAACCCTAATGTCGTCTCGTCTAGAGCGTCCAAAGAGCACAATCACAGAATCACACAATCACACTGGATCTATATTGCCGGCGATGAGCTTGATGAGGGAGAGCAGATAGATGGAGATATCGGGGCTTCCAGGTAGAGCTATTTGCAGATAAGTTTGAAAACAACTCAGAGTTGGTCTCAGAACCAACATTATTTAATAAAACATGTCTTCAGAAACCTCTAGAAAACTTTCCTTTTGAAACTATTATCAAACTTAATTCCATTCAAATGAGTTTTTGGAGAAATTCTTGAAATTGTGCTTAGGTTAGCTTTCTGGGAAGAAGAAAGAAGGAAGAAATATGAGATTGACTTATTTTCTCCTTACAGCGATAAGCAGATCAGAGTAAATTAAAGTGCAAAATATTAGGTAGTTTCGAAGGAGGCGGTGAAGATGTGTAAATGAAAGAGGAAAGAGAAAGGAGGAGAGAGGGAAGAGAGAGGGAGAGAAAAAAATAATACACAGCGTATTTAATGGCTTAAAGGTAGGAAGTGGCCATAAATAGATATTTTGCTATAAAAATTAAAAGGTAGCTATAGGAGATAATTTTTTAAAAGGGTATATTTAAAATAAATAAGGTGTTAGCCTTTGCTATAGGAGGTAAAAATTTCATGGAATAGTTACCTCCTATATCAAAGGTTCATACCTTATTTATTTTAAATAAATGCCTTTTTAAAAAATTATATTCAATAGCTACCTTTTAATTTTTATAGCTAAATATCTATTTATGGTCACCTCCTATTCTTAAGCCATAAAATACGTCTTGTATTATTTCTCTCTCTCATTCTTTCAGATTTTTCTCCACCCCCTCTCTTTCAACTCCAATCTTTCTCCATGAATACAACCACAATTCTCCCAAATACAGACCGAAACGGGCAGCTTTGACTCTCAATTTGGAATTTTTTTAGCAAGAATGGAATGGAGAGAGAAGTGAAGTCAACAACTATGAACAAAAATCAAAAAGCTTCAATATCTGATACGGCCAAGAACCCAAAAAGGCCACCAAAATACCCTTACAACCCTAAACATACTCATGTGGACGTTGAATATGGCACAGGTGTGATGATTTAATTTGTAATTTATGATTAATTACAGCCTATTAAGTTGAATTAACTCAATGTGCTTTGTTGTGTCCTCTTCTCTTCTTCGTTCTAGGGTCCTGCCCAATCTGGGGTTTTTCGTCCCAATCCACAAGCGCCTTTCAAATTCAATTGTAAAGAATAGGCTTTTTGAAGCGCACGTGAGGGTATTATGGTAACAGGAACAGTGGCGTCGATAGAGACAGTCTATTAGAGCGGCTTCTAAGTTTCTTCTTCTCCCCTTCATCACATGCTTAGTCTTCAATCCGGTAATTACGTGCTAATCGTCGGCAACCGGAGGCAACGGTGACGGCAAGCGAGAACTGGATACTGATGCTGCTTCAACGAGACGACATTAGGGTTGTTCTTGAACAAAGACGACGGAGTTTGGGGCTGAGCAATTTGAATTTTCTGTTAATATATTTCAATGTATTTCAATGTATCTCGCTGTATTTCATTGTATTCATTGCCTTTTTTCATTGTATTTCAATGTATCTCGCTGTATTCTATGTATTTCATTGTATTCATTATCTTTTTTTTCATTGTATTTCAATGTATCCCGCTGTATTCTATGTATTTCATTGTATTCATTGTCTCACTATATTCAATGAATGTATTCATATATTTTTTTTATTAATATAATTTATGTATTATATAATTTCTCTAAAGATTGCTATATCTTTAGGGTATTTTTCGATTGAGAATCTTTTTTATAACTGGAAATACAAAATTTGTGTGTTATAATTGAGTTTGTTGAGTTATATTAGGAGTCTATTATGTTAATTGATTCACTTTCCGTTTAAAATAGTGTACTCCCCTGTTTCACGCTGTGAATACCGTCGAATACAATAATCTGTCCAGCTGTAATCCCATATTTCGCGTCATGAATACAGTCGAATACACTCGAATACAAATATCTGTCTAGCTGTAATCCCCTGTTTCACGCCTAGAAATGCTATTGTATTCATGAATATAGTAGCTTAAATACATCGAATACACTCTAAAAAATCTGAAAACATAGCTATAGGAAGTAATATAGTAAATGATAGCTACAACTAGCTAATAACCACTAAAATATAGGGAGCATTTGCATCTATACCCGCTTTTTGTATCACGTTTTAACTTGTGCCCGCTTTGCAAAAAAAATTACAAGCGTACCCGCTTTTTCGCATAACTTCAGCATACGGGGCTGAAGTAGCAAAGGCAATCACGCAAAACTTCAGCATTCTAGTAGCTGGCCCTGAAGTTCAGCTCTAGAGCTGAAGTTTTTATTTTGTAACTGGCGAACTTCAGCTCTAGAGCTGAAGTTTTTGTTTTGTAACTAGCGAATTTCAGCTCTAGAGCTGAAGTTTTTGTTTGTAACTGGCGAACTTCAGCTCTAGAGCTGAAGTTTTGTTTTGTAAGTGGCGAACTTCAGCTCTAGAGCTGAAGTTTTTATTTGTAACTGGCGAACTTCAGCTCTAGAGCTGAAGTTTTTGTTTTGTAACTGGCGAAGTTTTTGTTTTGTAACTGTCGAACTTCAGCTCTAGAGCTGAAGTTTTTGTTTGTAACTGGCGAACTTCAGCTCTAGAGCTGAAGTTTATAAAACCCTTTAGTATGTACTGCTGAAGTTTCCATTTTTGGGGGAGGAAGATTGACCTTTCAAATTCCATATTCTAAGTATGGATATGGCTTCATTGATTTATTCTGGATCGAAACGTCGAGGAACGCACCATGGTTCTGCTTGACCATAGCATCTCGACGATGGAGACGCACTATGGTTCTGCTTGAATTTGCTCTATTTTGTTTCGTATCTGACAATCCATTTATTTGGTATTCCAAAATATAAAGATGAATGCTTGTTAGCATCACATCATTCAGTCATTAAACCATCACCAAAAGGAAAAATAAAAAAAGAACAACTTTTGTATTTAATAATAACAGTACTTTTCAGTAACAAAGTACGTTCATTATGAACAAATGTTTATATAGAATGCTCAAGTAATGAAAACCACTGAGGTTCAATTCGTGAAAACCAGTGATATGGAGATTACTGGGAGAAGGAGGAGGAGAAAAGGGGCTGAAGTTGTTTAAAAAGTGGGTACAAGTTAAAAGCTTTAAAAAAATGGGTATAGGTTAAATTGGGGCGACCAAATAGGGCGCCCTGTGCAATATTTACAAAATATAGGGGGCATTTGCATCTATACCCGCTTTTTGTGCCACATTTTAACTTGTGTCCGCTTTGCAAAAAAAATTGCAAGCGTACCCGCTTTTTTCACATAACTTCAGCACACGGGGCCGAAGTAGCAAAGGCAATCACGCAAAACTTCAGCATTCTAGTAGCCGGGCCTGAAGTTTAGCTCTAGAGCTGAAGTTTCCCAGTTACAACACAAAAACTTCAGCTCTAGAGCTAAAGTTTCCAAGTTACAACACAAAAACTTCAGCTCTAGAGCTGAAGTTCTTGTCTTTGTAACTGGGGAATCCCACTATCAAGATGCAATCAGATTTCCTGCTGTTGTTGTTGGCTTTCAGTGCATAGTCGAGATTTTGCAACGCTCCTAATACGAAGTTTGCTAATGGTCCTGGTACGACTTCATTACCTGCTGAAATCTACGTCAATTTGATAGTTGAAGCATGTGGAATTACGTTGTTTGGTACCCAATTCTAACAACACGTAAATTCAAGTGGTCATAAAATAACAGAGGCTTTGATGAGTTTAAGAAGTAAAAACTAAGGGCGGACCCACCGTTATAGGTATGGATTCGATGGAATCAGATTGTAGAAGAAGAAAAAAGAAAATGAAGGAGGAGAAGGGGAGGAGAAATGGAGCTGAAGTTGTTTAAAAAGTCGGTACAAGTTAAAAGTTTAAAAAAAATGGGTATAGGTTAAATGGGGCGACCGTCCAATTTTTACAAAATATAGTGGTTTCAACCGTGAGGCCCAAAAAAAAAACGAGATGTAAAGCCTAAATTGTCCTTTAAATTTAATTTGAAGTTGCATTAAATCGCTCTATATATTCATGAAAATTGTCCAACTATGATTTAACATATGATCGATTCAGTGATCATTACCCAGAAAAGAGGGGCGAATTCGAAGTTTCAATGCCATAATCTGCAGAGAGGAAGAGCTAAACTTCTGGGCAGGGATTAAAGGATTCCTATTTCCCTCGAAATTTCAAACTTAGACGTCTGAATTTATGCAGTTACAATGCAGATGAGGTTTTACTGTGTATAAAATTAGAAAGTAAGTGGAGTAGTAGATCAAAGTTAACGCAAGTACACAGATATTTTTTTTTGGAAACTTCCAGGTAAACCCGCCCGCTACAGCCTCTGCCCTTCCGCTGAGGCACTCTTTGGTTAGCACTATGTGGGCATTGAATAAACCCCCGCTGTGTAATAGGGGGCAAACCATCCTGGATGTAAACTGCACTAGCCAAGCCCTGTGTGACGGCTCGACCCATAAGGTGGATCGATTCCAGGTCATCTGTACTAATGATTGCCCTCCAAACCAACCGGGTCATCCCGAAGGGATTATTACACAGCTTATATAAGCAAATAGAAGTAGAAAAAAACTGGAAAGTACTCGTAAGTGCTCATTCTTTCTTATTCTTTATTTGGGCTTTTCGGTTTGAAAGTATAGATTACATATTCAAGGTCAAATTGCATATATATTTGGTCCATTAAGAACCGAAGCAACCTATTAGAAAAAATAGGAACCCAAGCAAACTTGAAGAATCACTTTCTGCAAATAAAACAGCAAATATTTCTGCTTCCCTTTGCCTTTATTCAATTTTGAATTGAGAAGCTGATAAGTAATTTAAGCTAGCATCTCATAATTCAAATATTGCATTTTGTACATGAAACAGAGGAGAAAAATGTACATACTTCTACATTATGAAGAAAGAAAAATGTACATGCTTGAAAATTTACTTAGTAAATAGCTGTCTACAATGCCTTCTTGGTCTTATCTGCTGCTCTCTGGCTTCATCACTAATTATTTCTGTAATAAGGTCTTTATATATTAAGCGCTCGACATCCAAAATCAATGCTGGAATCTCACTTTGACAATTTGTCCAATCTTCTGACTGATGCCTCATATCTGCGTTTAGAATACTTATCAATTCATCATCTTCAGAGTCCATGCTAATCTTCTTAGCATTGAGGTGGTCTATGTCTGACGTCAATTCCTTCAGAAGCTGCTGTCCACTTAAACGATCTCGTCTCTGCAATAAACAGCTTTCTGAAGCTAGTTTGCGGACAAGGATCTCATCGACTGTGTCAAAGACATTCTTTCTGTGCATTTTCTGATTGAACTTTATCCGAGCACTCTTTTTACTGTGTCCATATTCTGGCATGTTGTGTTCCTCAGTCTGTTCCAGGATATGAAACAGCTTCGGATCGATCAGATGGCCGGATTGAAGCTGAATGGCCGTGGATACAGAGTCCACGTCCTTTAGAAGGCCAGATGCCAGTAGTATCTTAGTGATGTATCTGTGATCAGGATTATGATTCTGGCTCAAGGATTCAAGTCGGTCCATATTTGCTTCGTGGTCGGAATCCAGTAGCCTGAGCTGGTTAACCAGGTCCTTAATACGGTCGAATCTCTTGTGGTTGGTCTTGGTGCCATGATCTATCCTCGTGCCGTACAGTGAATGATCCTGGTAATCTAGGTACCATAAATCATCTGCAGCATCCTCAACTGTTCAAGTGGAAAGGACAAAAAATGATTATTTAGTCAAATCCTGCTTGTACACCAATAATTGTAACATAATTCTGTGGTTGGCCCATCTCTTCCATGCTTTAGGTACAACAATTTTATATGTATATCAGTATATGTCTATTTGGTCCAGCTTCTTTTATTCTTTAACATAGTGAAAATGCAGATAAACATGTAGATTACCCTCGTCGTAGGATCTTATTGTAACTTGAGTTGTGTGCATCATGTAATTATCCTCTTCTGATTTGAATCTCACATTCCTTTTCTATTTCATGAGATATTTACTCTGTGTAAGCATTTGAACACCTAGATAACTCTTTTAGGTGTACCTTTTTCATTTTGAATTTAGGAAAAGCCTAGAAATTCTTAGGGGTGTTAGAAACCTTAGCCAAATTATGGAAGTAAATCAGAGCTATTAACATGCTTTTTGTGAACTAATTATTGGTTGCATGTTAGAGAAAGAAACATTTCAGACTAGCTAATGAAGTTATTTGTTTTGAGCATTCACATTTTCATTTTTCAACAAAGCACTTTGTTAGATTTCCCTTTTTCCCTTTTGTTCCGAGTGTGTTGTATTACTCTTGGGGACCATGCTTTTTGTTCTCCTCTTAGTGTTTATTTCTGGACAGTCATGATTCTTTGTAATTGGCATCGAAGGCAGATGTTTTACAGAACTAATGGTGCCCATACCTCTAAATGCAGTTGTTTTCTTCTTCACAGGAGACGGTGAATCTTCTTCATAGAATGTGGCATCAAGCACGGAGACAGGACTTGGTTGTTCAATTGTAGCAATTGCAAGTTCAGCCATTGATCTGTCTTCATTGAACCTCACCATGTCACTCTGCATCCAAGAAAAAGTGAAAGTCAGTAATTGGACATGCGTTGGATAAATAGATATATACATGTAAATAAGTCACTTACTTTGTCTTTGGCATCCTCTAATCTTTTAGCATTAACCTTAAAGGAAAGATTTCTGCTTGTGACTTCTCCCTCTGCATGTGAGCTCAAACTGTTGTTGCTTTCTGATTGCACAGAAGTTGCATCACCTTGCTCGCTGAAATTTCTTGTGCCACTGCTGATTTCACTCAATTCCTCATCAACTCGGAGCAGATTGTTGGGTTTTGCTTGCAGTCTCCTTTTTGAAGAGCCTGGTTCTGTGGTTTGCTTAATCGATTGCCTTCTGACCCTGCTGAATTCTTGTGATGTAGTGGTTGGACAAGATTGCTTCTTCTTCTGTTGTGGTCTTGGACTTACAGTTCCAGAATTCCTTCCTAATGCAGGATAGCTTCCTTCTTTTTGTTGTCGTAATGTTGGGTTTTGCACTGCCCTTGATCTTCCTTCTTTTGTCTTCTTGTCCAAGGAAGGAAGCCGCCAACCAGAATCTCTGACATTGTCCGCTCTAGGTGTCACGTCTTTCCAAGTTTTCTTGTCAGCTGTATCCTCCCTGGATTGTTTCAGAGTCATATTTAAAGATTCTGACCTTTTTGGTGGGCGAGTTCCCTTTATGGTTGGAGATAGCAGGTCGCATTGCTGCCTTTTCTGCACAATTTCCAAGTTCGCGTCAGAGTCCGCCTGCTCTTCTGTTTGGACCTCTAACCTTGCTTTTGTCTTCTGCATTGCTTCAAGAATCTGTTTCAGAGCTCTGAGATCCTTTCCAGATTTTCTAAACTCAAGTTCAGTTATCCTTTTCTCCATTTCGCCATAGACAGAGGAAGATAACTTTGGAGTCTTGACCGAAAGTTCCACATCTGTGTTTATTGCAGATGACTTGTGGAAGGTTCTGTTGGCCTCTTGTTGCCTCCAGGGAGCAGGTTCTAGTGGAAGCCTTGAAGTTGACGCGGCTCTCATGATTGAATTGGTAGATTTCATTCGTGGGGAGCTGCAATCCTTATCATTAATCTGTGGTGACCGTGTGACTTGATTATTCTTGCTCTTTTCAGCTGTTTTCGTTGATACGGAAACAGAATCATTGGCAGGGAAAGACTTAGGCATCACTGTCTCGGTTTCATTTGAGGGAATGGAATTTGGAAAAGCTTCCAATCCCATCAGCTTTGCTACAACACTGGAAGATCTTTTATGATCTCCTAAAAGAAAATTTGATCTGGATTCAGAGGCAGAGCTCCTGAAGGACTGTTCTCTACTGTCCAGTGACAGTCTGGGAAGATCCTTTAGCCTTATCGAAGGATGCATAGCTTCTCTTGATTCTCTTTCATCGTAAGAGAAACGCGGATGATCTTTTGGTCCATGCCTTAGGAGACCAACTTTATCTTCTTTTGAGTTGCAAGGTGCTTCACGAAACTTAGCAGTTACTTGCCTTGTTCCATCAGATGGCTTCACACAGTTTGACTGCTGAAATGGCCTCGGAGAATCTATGTGCTTCATCACATGGACTCTACCTTCCACTTTGGTGATGGTTTTTACAGATAAACTACGGGCTTCCCTGTGCATGGAGTCCTTAACAACATCCCGGAAATCAGGAGATTGTCGGCCAGAATGAGATGAAGAACTTGGCTGTTCGTATGGCTGGATTTTTGAAGGAGTTTCTGGCATTTTACTTTGACTGCAAGAAGGTTGCTCTTGTTGTGAACTTTTACTTTGTTCTAGTTTTGAGGAGGCTTTGGAAGACTCACTTGAGAGCGCAACTTTGCTCCTGCTGGCCACCTCCCTTTGAGTCTTTTCCTGCAGTTACCAATCACACTGGGTAAGTTTGTTTTGTGTGTTAGTTTTGTGATGTCTTGAAGAAATACTTAGTTCAAAATCTTACCTTAGGTGGTTGCATTGTACATTTGGGCTCCATCCTATCCGTGGCACCTTCAGGACACATCAACCAACAGTGAGATTTTCTAATTTAGTTTAACTAAAGGGTCTAAATGTATGATTTATGAGAGTTTTATCAAGATTAACAGTGTATGCGGGAAAGATTTTTGGTGATTCAGGAGATTTAAGCTAGTGAAAGCGCACAAGTATAGTATTATGCTTCAGCAGAAGAAAATCCAAGTTTTTGTATGCTCGACTATTTGACTGAAGTGTAGTATATCTGTATGCGGATTAGTAAACAAGAGATTATTTTAAGTCTATAAAAGTATACAAGAGGGCCAAAAGAACCAGAATGCTGGTACTTGTTGTAAGCAATAAGGTAATTGCTTAGGTTAAGCAGTCGATTCTGAACGTTAAGGTGACGTTTATTTGAAGTTTTCCAAAACTTGAAATTTGCAAATTTAGTTTTTTAGTTTTTGAAAGAAGTATTTGTTTGAGTTGTTTTCTGAAGACTTGAAAAACTGAATCTGGAAATCTTGAATTAATTTATTTTATCTACTTTATTTTGCAAAAAGAAAGTGTACAAGCATTTTCTTTGCAAAACTGAGTTCACAAAACTTTTGTTTTTTGAAACTTCAAAGGAACACCTTGTATTACTTTATTGATTCCTTGAGTAACTTCTTATACTTGCAGCCTTTTCAAACCAATGAAATATACTATCTTGGAAATGGAAATTTACTTTGTTTTTCCCTCTATTATTCCTAGTTATCCATAATTAGTGGATTGCTATTGCCTTACATCTCTTCTCGGAGCCAGGTCCTCAAATTTTACCCTGTTTACATATTTACATTTTTTCCTAAGATATTATTCCCTCGACCCATGAAAAATGATAGGATTGGACAAATTATTCATTTGTTAGAAAATAAATTTACAGAATCAGAAATTTCACAACTACTACAGATCACAATTCTTTGTAACTAGGAATATTCAGGAAATAATCTTAGTCACATGAAATATAATTTGACAAAGACAGTTCTGCACAACAGCACAAGGAGCTTAGAAGGAGAACCGAACAAAATTGACATAATTCAGAAGCTTTCAGGTATTGATTTATTCACTTGCAAGATTGCAGATTAGTGAGGGAAAAGTACCTGTGAGTAGCCTTTTGTGATTTTGACCATGGAGACGTCTGCCAGTGAGAAAATGGTGTCGATCGAACAGCTGAAATAAACCATTCATGCATCCAATTTGCTTCTGTAGATCCTTTTGGTGGTCCTCTGTTATAGAAGATAGCATTCTTGCTGACATTTTTTTGTTGCTTTCTCAAAGCCCAAAAATGGGACAAATCATAAGGCCTTGTGCACTTCCTATAAACAAGAAGCAGAGGATGTTAAAAAAAAAAACTTCCATAATTCAGCAAATTAACAAAAAATGTTGTTTGTGGTAGTTAAGATAATGATAAGTCATTTTCTTGCATGCATTCATTCATTACATTTTACAGGTGAAAGACTCACCAGTGCTGCAGTAAACTTGGGTGAAAAAGGAAGCTTTTTCAGGCACAATGAGAACTTGGAGCAGTGTAGACAGAAAAAATGTAAGAGTTTAAATTGAGAATAAATGCAGCTGCAGAGTAGCAGTTAACTGGAGAAATCTCCAGACCCAAGAAGAGATGTTTTTGCACAGAACAAAATGGTAGAATGTTTCTTGCCTAAGAAAGACTATGTCCTGCTCATATAGAAAGAGGAGTGTGTGAAAGTTGTAAAAATGTTAGTAAAGAATGTGGCATGTGCAGTATATATATAAACTATAGAGGCAGCTCGTAGCTGGCTTTGAATGACAGAGAAGATGGCGGGCAAAGTGGGAGAAAAGAGATAACTACTAAATCACACTCTGTGTTTACATCAAATCATATTACTTCACAAATTAAAGTGAGAATATATATTTTATATTTATTGATTCGATATAAATACAAATCGCACATAAATATATAGAGAGAAAGGGGTTATGTGGATATGAAGGGGGCGGGTTGGTTGGTCTTTGTGTGGGGAGAGGTGGGTCATTTTCTACACACTTTCATGTGGACAAAATAATGAGTAGAGAGGTGGGACTCTGATGGAGGATTTGGGGGTGGGGTGGGGGGTGGTTAAGTAGACTGAATCTATCTTTTTCAAGTCACTACCAGTTGTAAATTGTAATACATACATGGGCATGTGGAGTTTGTCAGATAAAATGCAAAGGAAGTGGATTTATGTACTGGCAATGCCTCCCTGAAGTTAAAGTCCTTCTGTTCAATCTTACTCAATTTGACCTTATTGCCCTCCAACTCTAGGAACATGATCATAATCATGATGCTGCCATATGGCATTGGCAGATAATGCTTTCAAATTTTTGTTGGGTTTTTCATTTAATAGTCTTAAATATATTTGTTGTTCAAATTGTGGCTTGAGTTTTCACAGGCTGGCTCTGCCTAAATATGTTTGTCATGTTTTTATTTGGCACTCACTTGTTTGTCTCAAGATATTCCTGCTATTAAGTGACCGTAAAAATAGTCGAGGAGCATACGAACTAAATTCAATATCCGTTGTTAAAAATAATTAAAAAAATAAAAAATAAAAGAACAAGAGGAAAAGGGTGCATTGTTTCCAGACATTCAATCGAGTGGCAAATTAATGGACAAAGGGCTTTGATATGGATGTTCATCTTTGTACGAAGTTTCGCAATAATGGTTTCCTTGTTCCTTTTCATAGTATGCATTTCTCTTCAATTTTCTTTTACCCCATTTACCAGAACTACTATATCTAAGCTCATGTGTCAGTGGTTTCTACTTCCTATTGCTGAGGTAAATTTTACCGATGTAAAAGTTTTCATGTCAAATTAATTTTGAAGATTAACAACTTTTAGGCCTGCTGAAATAAGCTTCACACGTTTAGTATAGTTTAACTGGTTATTGTAGGTTATTTATCATCTTTTCGGAGTTACTCATCCACACTGGAATTTAAAAATTACGTACAGTAACTTTTAAATGATCGAATGACGTATCATCATTAAAAATTTCTAAAGCTATTGTATTATGCTGATAACCAGTTTATACGCAGCCCACCAGCTTTTACGATCTCAATTCAAAACTGTAAATGGCGCTTCTTTTTTTCTTTTTGCTTTAGTAAATTGGCGCCTATTATAAAGAACCCAACAAAGACCAATTAATATTTTGCTTTGGCATATGGTGGGGGAGGGAACGGATCAAAGCGGAATATTGACTATTGAGTGCAGTCAATGCTTGGTTTATTTTCTTTTCATAGTCCTTTTCTTGTTCTTGACTATAGACATAAGTTTATTATTCGATAAAAAACATTGATTGTATTTTCAACTCGATGAAATGAAGAAAGAAATCGAATTAACCCCATAAATTTTAGCTATGCATTTTTTTCTAGTAGTAAATTGTTGGGATCGAAATAACATGGTGCATGCGGAAACTAACAATACAAAGCTTGGTGGACGATAAATCAGAAGACAAAAGAAAAATATACTAAACTAAGCATAATAGTTTATAATAGTTTGGTCAATTGATCTACATATGATAAACTAATATAGAAAAAGAAAAACTGTCGAGAGAAAAATCTCCGTTTAAACAAAACTCTTTAATGACTACATTGTGGATTTTTTTTGTGCTTTTGTGAGAAGCAGAGATCCTTAATTTATGGATGTGCAAAACTTGTCTTCCAAGAAAAGGAAAGACATATTAGGAGATTTAATCCTTTTAGGAGTCTTTTTCATTCTTTCAAGAAAGAGAGTCCTAATAAATTAGAAATTCAGGGCAAAATTCTAACATAAATTCCAAATGAAAAAAGTAATTTACCTCGGTATACCTAAATTTTGACATTTTTTAATCTTTTCTCATTATGATGTCTAATTAAATTTTTTATCTTTGTGAGTTTATCCTATGCACATGTGCGTTTGTTCAAGTAAGGCACAGTGTCCAAACAGTACTACTTGTCAAATTGGTACTGTTTTAAATCACTCTTTTTAGTACATTGACCGCCATAATTAGAGTTGCAGCTATTCTCTCCAGCTCTTGAAGCTGTTCTCATTCAACGTTATAACACATAAAAAACACCAAATTTCAATTTTCTATGTACTGCTTGTCCAAACAGCTGGGTCTTGGGATTGCTCTTTTTGCTTTGACCACTAAAACTAGAGTTGCAGTTAGTGATCTTGTTCTTATTGAAATTTCAAAGACAGACAAGAGCGTTAAACTTACACCAGAATTTACTAACTTGGTATCTAATTTAATGTACTGTTAGTAGTAAGTATTTATTACCTGTTATAAACGCGTTACAGAAAAATCCAAAAGGTTAGATGGGTCTGGTACTATAGTCATATATACTATACTAGTCAGTAGTCGGCTACGTACTACAAGGTTTCAATTCCATAGCTACTATTTTCTCTAATCTTTACTTGGCTAGCTGGTGTCTGTACTGCAAATTTGTAGAATTGTCATATGCCTTTCCAACACATTTAATCCTTGTCGAGTTTTGCTTCCCTCTTTCGTACTTCAATATTTAAATGCTTCTGTGCCTTTGTCACCGCTGTTCTCTTCCTAAGACAGTAGTGACAAATTCAAGATTTTAAAGTTATGGATGCTCGTTGAAAAAATAGAAGAAAAAAAATAAGTTTCGTTGTGGGTGCTCACTCTATATTTATCAAAATATTTTTATAATTATCAATGCAAATTTACCAAATATGATCAAAGTTAATGGGTGTTTAAACACCCACACGTGCCCGTGTGGATCCTCCACCGTGTATGGGTCAAAATCTGACCACACGTGGATTAGTGTTAACAGGAATGGTAAGAGGTTAACTAAGCCGTGGTCGTACCTACTAGATGTAATAACGACGAATACCTCGGTCACCGCCGAGATCGTGCCTTCAAGAAACCTGTATGGCGAAGAAAATGTCATGGTAGTCGAGGGAGACGACGTGAAGTACAGTCAAAGGAATGAAGGCCCTCTGGTTAAGGACCAATGGACAAAAGGAAAATACTGACAATATATATATATAGGAGAGGAGAAGACAAGAGAGGGGGGCTTTTTCTCTCCCAGAAGGAGAACAACAGAAGAAAACCATGAAAAGGTTTAGATAGGGAAGATAAACCTCTGTAATTATGATTGTCAAATCAATAAATTTAGATCTCATAGTCATCAATGGCATTCCTCCTTTTCCTTCTTTGCTCGTACATTTCGGGACGATACTCTAAAGATGTAAGTTTATTATCATGCTTGATGTCTTTTAATAATCTTGAATCGAGCTACAAGCTTTGCTATGTCACATTCTTTTATTCATTACACTTAGATCTGGAGTTAATTTTTTTTTTTTGGTAACTAAATATTTTATTCAGTACCAAGAAACTTTACAAAACCGTAGCTAACTAGCATAGTTAGCTATCCATGTAATAGTTCTACTACTATTGCTTTCTAGAATCGAAATGCATGAACTATTTCCCTAATTTTTGTTGGAGCTCTCACACTACAAACACAAGCAATATCTCTAGCTAATGATTCACTGTTTTTATACATTTTTTCAAATATTCTCATATTTCTTTCTATCCAAATACTATGAACAAATTCTGTGTATATCATCTTGAAGATCTGTGCAGCTTGAGTTCTCTCATTTGCTCTACTAATAATCTCCAATTGATGTTGCTGCCATCCCCTTGCGTTCATTGGTCTTCCTTGTGCCCATTGATTCAATTTGTGCCATACTTCTTTGGCAAATTCACAGTCTAGAAAGAGATGTTCATGTGATTCCTCTAAGCTTTGTGATCACACCCAACTCTAATCCTAAAAAGGATAAGCAGTCGCTGCAAATATAATCCGGTCTAAAAGTCCGGAGTCGAATCCCACAGAGAACTAAGGCTTAGCTATATCTGTTTAATATCACTAAGAAGACAAGTTTGAACAATTTTCTAAATTATAAAGATTGAGATCTATATTTCTAACTAATTAACTAGCAAATACTACAAAGCGGTAAAATTATCAACTAACAAGAGAAAGAGTTGGTGACTAAAATTAAGGAGGTCTAGAGTTATGATTTTCCAAATTATCGGAATCCTTCTAGCTATGTTCCCTACAATTTTGTCAATGTATTCTCTACTGATCGCGAGCACTTTAGCTGTCTTAATTCTCTCTCGAGAAACTACAATAATTTACTAGACATATTCTCTCGAACTACGCTAGTTGGCTTCATCTAACCGCTCACTATGACCACGTCAAGGCTTTGTTATTTCTAAACCTACCTTTAAACCCAATGTATTAATTTCTCACATACATTAGGAGTGACGTTGTTCAACAACTACCTAAATATGTACTCTCTCTCGAGCAACACATAATAAATGGGCACAGTCAATCGATGGCCATTCAATCAACAACAATAAATACGTAGTTGAACAAGTAGAGAAATTCAATGGCTCAATTATATAAAAACATAACAAGAATTTATCCTACAAAAGGTTCCATCAAAACCCTAGATAACAAATTAGCTATTCATAATAGTATGTAAAACTACAATACTAAAAGTCATAACCAACAATGAAAAAAAATAGGAAGAGGAAGAAAAAACTCATAGAAGAATTTCCTGCCTTGCTCCTATTGTGTCTTTGCCTCCTTAAGTCGAATCTATGTCAAAAGTATGTCCAACCTCCTCAAAATACCATTTTTCCATGTGTATATACCAAGTAGGTTCGGTCCCAAACAATTATACTTTCTCCTACGCGAAAAAGGACAAGTTTCCAGGCCTGGACGTCCACGGTCGCGGTCCGGGCGCGGTATTTGGCAATTCTACTGTTTCACGCATTTTTCACCCTGTTCCGTTTGGAATTTGAGAAAACGTAAAACAGGAAAGTTTTAGCCCTTTGAGTTAGCTTTCCAACCATATATTGTGGAGCCCAAAT